CTTATTCTAAATTGAAAATTTAATAATATCAATTCAAAATTTAATAATATCAATTCAAAATGGACTTAATTGTGAAACGACGCAGAACATGTACACCAAATTTATTAGTTTAAAGAAAGTGATCTTAATTTTTGCATTACACTTTATGGCAACATGCATGCCAGTGTTTATTAGTATGAATGAATAATTGAATTATAATTTGCAAGAAAGAAAGTAAAAATTTCGAATGAAATTTTACATTATTGATTTATGCATAAAAAATGACAAAAATGAAAATCTATGCGTGAAAAATAATTGAATAATTGGTTGAAAAATGGTATATACTGTAACATCACCTATTTACACGTTTAAACTAAGAGAAAAGTTAAAATATTAACACTCATTGCTTTAGATGATACATTTTCATGTAGTTATTAGAATGATCTAATTTGTGATCTAATTTGTAAATTGTTTTTGAGCATAAACTCGTACTTGTGGATTAAAAGATTTTAGTTCTATTATTTCATTTTTCATATTTTTGACCAAATCGTCATATTCATCACTCGGAACATCAATTATACTCATAAGTTTCGGTTTCATAGTTTCGAGAAAAGTAGCGTAATTTCCAGCCGCCTAAATAATGTAAATGACAAGATACACACACAAATATATATATATATATATAATAGTCAAATGAATTGAAATGAATATAAATTATTAAAACTTATTTAAAATTTATACGATACCAATCTGCATAACTTTTCAGCATCTTCACCATCGTAACGTTTTTTTATTTCAAAATGAACATTATGAAGTTGTTTTTGCTGTTCTAAATAACGTTGTAATTTGTAGCATATATGAGTGTCTAAACCACGTTCATGAAATAAATTTATTACTAAAAAGCAGGTATAAAGTTAGAACATTATATAGCAAAGTAACATCTTGATCAATGAAATAATAATATTCCTTACTGCCATTAATAATTTTTGTTGTTGCGGGTCCCATGATACTATATTGAAAGTCCAGTTCGAATAACTTAAAAAAAAACTCAAGTTAATCAGATTTAAAAAATTCATTAATATTTTAATATTAATAAAAATTTTAATAGAAATAAATAAAAGAAAACCTCTATATAACCGCCAGGTTTTAATACACGAACTAGTTCATTAATTACAGAATGCCATTCATTTTCAGGAATTCCGGCAAATAATAATCGTTGAAACACAAAATCGAAAGTATCATTATCAAATGGTAAACGTTCTAATATGTTTGCTTCAATAAATTCAGCATTTTTAGGTTTAATATAACCAGGTTGAATTGGAGAAATATCTACGCCGGTAAATCTTGTTAGTGGATAAGTGGTTGCCATTTCGAGTAACCAAGAACCAGCACCTGTTCTAAATTAATTATTAAAAGGAGTTACAATATATTACAAAATAACATTAACAAGAATTATAATCATAGTGATTATACTTTAATTCTAACTATAATTATAATTATAATGAATCCTTTTTATTATGGGAAAACTTATTTTTCGATCGGTATAATCTCAACTAATCTAATAACTTGGTTTTTTATTTATAAAGAGGAACTTATTTTCAGACGAGCTTATCTTCAGAGAATAAGATAATAAATTTAAAACAACGCACCCTACGTCGAGAACTCTTGATCCTTCTTGTTTAAGAAGATCTTCAACTGGGGCAGAAAAGTTACTTCTCCAAATAAATCTATATGTAAAGTGCATTACATGTAATCTATCGCATTCATCATCATCATTAGGTAGAAAGTATTTTGAATTCTCTACATTATGATATCTTCTACCACCTTCAAAAGTATATTTATCAGAGTTTTTACTTGAAGACGCTAATTCATTAGCGTAATTAGAAGATTGATTATTTCTGGATTTACTATTACGATTTCCCATCTTGATACATATAAAATT